TAATGAATACATATGACGCATAATGAGATCTCCATCTTCTTATTATTGATCATTTTTCTTTTTTTTTGTCGATAATTTCTCTTTCTTATACTCTTATAGAAGCACATCTATCTATTATTATTATCGTAACCGCGTTAACGCTCTACATTTTATTATTAACTAACATTATTACAGCGCTGCTGCTAGTGCTACCAGTGTTACACGATTGTTAGCATCTCGTTACTATCAATATTATATTAATTATTAATTACTAGTATCGCCAATAATCAACGTAATCTCATTGGCGATATATATTGTTAATCTTATTATTGTTATCGTTATTATTTTATCGTTTACTATTAATATTTATTGTTGCAGTTGCTGTTGTTCTTGTTGTTGCTATTATTGCGAGCATGTTTTTTTTGTTCTCAGTGTGTTACAGACTGCGTGTAACTTCCTTGGTCCTGGTCCCAGTTCCTGCTACTTGTCTGCTTGTGTTCGCAATGACGATCGAAAAGGATGACTGTGTCCTTACATGTAGTGAGGGTACATTCAATCAATTAACATATCATATTATCATCGGACCGTACACATCGTCGAATGACTGGAACTGAAAATCTAAATTCTACAAATGTACACAACTAAAGCACTGGAAGACTTTACAACGCCAAGAGTATTATTTGTAAGTTTAAGAGATCACACATCGTGTAATTAGGGATACCATCTAGGAGCCCTAAAATCATAAGACTGCATGTGTATATATACATTCTTTTCTCTGTACATATTCTTCATACATCATGTGGACATCGATTTTATGTTAACAATAGTTGAGAACCGAAAGGCGAAAGCTATATTTAGAACACTGCGAGGATCGATACTTGATGGTAAATCGTGAGAAATTATGATCATTGTGATCCTGTTCATCCGGATACAAATCCAAATTGTTAACGTTCGTAATTTAAATGATAGATCTTAAATTCCTTTAATGTTGTATTCGATTAAAAATGATAAAAAAAAAAAATTAATATCTCTGTACTGATTCCATTATTTGTTTCAGCATACATTTTAGCGCAACAGAGTATTTTTACCTGAGATACACGAATGAATCGTTATATGTATAAAAAAAGAAGACATTATAATACGCATATTTATTTCTCTTATATCGAGGGTTTTTAAAAAGGATTGAGTAGAAAACATTTGATCCTTTGTCTACTTCCATTTCATTAGATATTTTTTTTTTTAGGACGTCCCGGTGATCAAATCAATTGTGTCTTGAAAAAACAGTGACGTCTATTATCGTGCAAAATATTTTCTTTCAGACAGAGCGTCGAAGCTTGTAGCCGATATACGCAATTATGTGACACAAGGCAGTGATTATAGCACGTGTGATAGTTTCTATTTTCTCATCTAGTTAAATTGTACCCGCGATAGTCTGGCTTAACTAAATCTGCGTTTAGCGATTAATCCCTTTTTAAATATTGTTTAAGATAATTCTCTACTTTCATAATATACAGGGTGGCCCCGAAACGTTTCAGCCAGACTTTGAGATCTTATAGGAAATTTAATTCTGAACAAAAAATTTGCTATTAACATGGGTGGAAAAATGCTTCCTTAAGAAGTTATCGCTCAACCTCTGATGAAGGAAGAGCATAAGGTTAAAAGAAAATGAAACTAAATAAATTTTTTGAAAAAAATGAAAAATAAAAAATAAAAATCTTTTTCTTTTATGAAAATAAAATAATCTTTTTTTTACCAACTTTTATTTTATTTTCATAAAAGAAAAAGATTTTTATTTTTTATTTTTATCGTTTTTTTCAAGAAATTTATTTAGTTTCATTTTCTTTTTATTTCATTTTCTTTTCACCTTTTGCTCTTCCTTCGTCAGAGGTTTTTGAGCGATAACTTCTTAAGGAAGCATTTTTCGACGCATGTTTATAGGAAATTTTTTGTTCAGAATTAAATTTCCTATACGATCTCAAAGTCTGGCTGGAACGTTCGGGGCCACCCTGTATAAATTTAGAACGATCATGCGCGAAACGAGTTGGATCCAGTCAGATAAATTCGCAAAAATACGTCAAAAAGTCTTAAAAAGATGTATAGATACGACTTGACATTATTATTATTTTATGTGTAGTATTTAGTACATATTATTAGCGCGAAAGATAGAAGAAAAAATATCTATATATGAATTGCGCGCGCGCGGGCGTGGAATATAAAATTTATAAATATATAAAAATATATTATATATATAACAAAAATAAAGAGTTTATATAAAGCCAATAGGAAAAATTTTGTGAGAAACGGATTCATCTCGTTTTGCTCGTCATCGCTCGCGAAATGGAAAAGAAAAAATGCAATTAATTAGAATTGGTGTTAAATAACGCTAAACTGCGATTAGCTCCGAAAGCTTTTGCAAACGTTAACAATCTCCGCGTCATGTTAATGCTCGTATTCGTCCAAAATAAGGGCTCACATTTGTTAATGATAATTAATGTTCGTTCAGTTAACGCCATCATTGAAATAAATCGTAGAATTAGCTAGGAACCTACAAACGGCTATCTTACATATCTGAGAAATATCTCTAGTTAATTACGAATGCCTTCGCTTGCAAATAGAATCATTTCAACGGATGCCGCTGACAGTGATGAGATCTAGTCATAATGTACACAATACATACCCGTCGTCCTTTAATGGACACGGTCGTAGAAAGTTTATCGAATGTACAAAGCGTCTTTTCTCTTTCTCTCTCTCTCTCTCTCTCTCTCTCTCTCTCTCTCTCTCTTTCTGTCTTTCCTCCTTGGCAATTTCAGAAACAATCCCTTGCAAATACGGAATCTCTCGTGCAGCAAATCCAACATAGATTCCAAGCATTGTTTTATATCATGTGTCTCGGTCATATATATATATATATATATATATATATATATATATATATATATATATATATACAGGGTCCTAAAAATCCTGGACCGGTTGAATATTTCATAAATTATGCACTTTAGAAAGAAATGTTTCAGACAAAAGTTGTATGGCTTGAAGAAAAAAATATGTAATTTGCAATTAACAATTACATTTTTTTTTTAAAACAACTATGTATTTTCTTTACACCAATTGATTCCTCTCAGTATTTTGTACATAAAATTATTAAGGTAAGATAATCGAAAAATGAATATTTTACTAGATATTTTATGGTTTATGCAAAATTAAGAAATGATTTCAAGCCTTATAACTCGAAAAATACTCAATGAAGAAATACTTTATTATAGTGTTTTGGAAAGCTCTCGAGATAAGCTACACGAATATGTAATAAAAAATAGGGGGTTCCATTTAAGAAATTGACGGTGATCTTCATATGACTTTCAAATGACTCTCCCATGTCAAATCATTGCCACTATCTGATGGCCCCCTTCAAGCCATACAACTTTTGTCTGAAACATTTCTTTCTAAAGTGCATAGTTTATGAAATATTCGACCGGTCCGGGACTTTTGGGATACTCTGTATATATATATATATATATATATATATATATATATATATATATATATATATGCTCACACGCTTTTATATTCTTTCTTTCAACGCGGCTTTGTCTGAAACCACATTTACACAATGTTCTGTATATTGAACACATATAGAGTGTATTGTGTATGTGTCGTGTATACGAGGGTCGTTCAATAAGTAAGGTAAAACAGCAATAAAATCAGCTTCTTTTCGCAAAATTCTTTTTTCTTTCTCGACATAGTCTCCTTGGAGCTCTACACACTTGGTCCATCAGTGTTCCAATTTTTTGATCTCCTCGGAAAAGTAAGAAGACTCAAGGCCTTGAAAATATTCATCTACAACGGCGATGACCTTCTCGTCTGATGAAAATCTCTTTCCCCCGAGCTAGATCTTGAGGTTTGGGAATAAAAAGAAATCGTAATATACAATATAAATTATGTATTGGAAAGTAGGTAGAATCAAGGCCTTGAAAATATTCATCTACAGCGGCGATGACATCCTCATCCGATGAAAATCTCTTTCTCCCGAGCTAGATCTTGAGGTTTGGGAATAAGAAGAAATTGCAATATACAATATAAATTATGTCGAAAAATAAAAAAGAAGCGATTTTGCGGAAAGAAACTGATTTTATTGCTTTTTTACTATATTTATTGAACGACCCTCGTATACAGGGTATCCCATTTTAATCGATCACCCTAAATAACTTTTTTAATTTTGATTGTAGAAAAAAATGTTTCAGACAAAAGTTGTATGGTTTTAAGGGACACATAAGACGGTGTCATTAGTTTGACCTTAAAGAATCACCTAAAAGTCACGTAAAGGTCACCTCCAACTTTTTAAATGGGACACCCTATGTGCTTTTACATATTCTTGTAGCTCATCTCGAGAGCTTTCCAAAACACTGTAATAAAGTATTTTTCTATTGAATGCTTTCCGAGTGATGAGGCTTGAAATCATTTTTTTTTAATCATTTTAATTTTACATATATCGTAAAATATCTTGTAAAATATTCATTTTTCGATTATCTTACCTTAATACTTTTATGTACAAAATAATGAGAGGAATCAATTGGTGTAAAGAAAACACATAATTGTTTCCAAGAAAAAATATGTAATTTGCAATTAACAATTACAAAAATAACTGTGTGTTTTCTACAATTGATTCCTCTCATTATTTTGTACACATAAAAGTATTCGGGTAATATAATCGAAAAATGAATATTTTACAAGATATTTTATGGTTTATGTAAAGTTAAGAAATGATTTCAAGCCCATAACTCGGAAAACACTCAATAAAAAAATACTTTATTATAGTATTTTGAAAAGCTCTCGAGATGAGCTACAAGAATATGTAAAAGCACATAGGGTGTCCCATTTAAAAAGTTGGAGGTGATCTTCACATGGCCTTCAGGTGACTCTTCAAGGTTAAACTAATGGCATCGTCTTATGTGCCCCTTAAAACCATACAACTTTTGTCTGAAACATTTTTTTCTACAATCAAAATTAAAAAAATTATTCAGGGTGATCGATTAAAATAGAACACCCTGTATATTTACATGGTTTATTATGCGTCTGTCGGAGAGAGAGTGCGTGTTTAGTAAGTGCATCTTTATCCTACGAACGATCATTTCGTGTTAATCTAGTATCTATCTCGAGTCCGCCGTCTTATTACTGACCTCTTCCTCGGCAGCGGCTTGGGCGACGCTCGCCGGAAGCGGTTGCTGATGCGCCTGCACCGGAGGAGCGACTCCACTCGTCGCCGACGTGACACCTCCGTGAGACGGGGGAACCACCGTCTGTTTACCATACTTGATGGTATCCTGCTGCGGCCCGCTTTGCGACTGCATCGACTCCGGTCTTCTGAGGTAAGCGGCCGCCTCCTTTTTCGGCGGTACCACAGGCTTATTTGGCGGCACCGGGGGTGGCACACCGCGCGAGATCGGCGGCTTTTTCGCCGGCAGTAAACCACCACCGGCGACGACGGGTGCTTGAACAGCGGGGCTGACGGCGGGACTCGCAGCAGACTGGCCGACGTGATAGCCGAGCTTCCCCGCTGCAGCGGCGGCTTGCGACGACGTGATAAGCTTAGCCGCAGCGGTACTAACGGGAGCAGGTACAACCGGTCGCTTGTCTACGGCCTGAGGAATTACAACACAACCATGACCGATTTTCAGAGCTTCGGACGGAGATCTCGACCGAACTCCGCTCGTCAATCAGGAGCGAACATACCATAGGTGGAAAATCATAGAGAGAGAGGGACGAGGGGGATGGAAGAAAAAGAACCATACCAAGAGAACTAATCCAAAGCAGAGAAAGAGGGAGAGAGAGAGAGACTCGGTGAAAAATAAGGGCGAATATATCTACGAAAAAAATGATCAAGACTCAAGGAGAGAGAGAGAGACGCCGTTGTTATTAAGCGATTCGCAGCTCGGTGAGGCTGAAATCAAAATTGCGTCTACTCCCATTTGGATGCTGTTAATAAGAATATACAGGGTGGTCCCGGACGTTCCAGCCAGACTTTGAGATCTTATAGGAAATTTAATTCTGAACAAAAAATTTCCTATAAACATGGATCGAAAAATGCTTCCTTAAGAAGTTATCGCTCAAAAATCTCCGATGAAGGAAGAGCATAAGGTTAAAAGAAAATGAAACTAAATAAATTTTTTGAAAAAAATGAAAAATAAAAAATAAAAATCTTTTTCTTTTATGAAAATAAAATAATTTTTTTTTAACTAACTTTTATTTTATTTTCATAAAAGAAAAAGTTTTATTTTTTATTTTTATCATTTTTTCAAGAAATTTATTTAGTTTCATTTTCTTTTCACCTTTTGCTCTTCCTTCATCAGAGGTTTTTGAGCGACAACTTCTTAAAAAGAAGCATTTTTCGACTCATGTTTATAAGATATTTTTTGTTCAGAATTAAATTTCCTATAAGATCTGGCTGGAACGTTCGGGGCCACCCTGTATATATATATATAATATTGCGAAGATACAGGAACACTTTTCCTTTGCATTTGCTGTTCATAAATCACCAGGAGATGAGACGTACCTTGAACGCAGTCTGAGTTACGTTAACCGAGGAATAGATTAGTAAAATATATACTAGATCTTCGGACAGACTAATGTAAGATGCAGAAAGACTAATGTGAGAAGTAAGTTCCTCAGTTCCCGTAGAGAGACTGCGTGCATCGAAATATATATATATATATATATATATATATATATATATATATATATAATATTATGATATATAAACAGTTCTAACTTCAATGAATATATATTTACCTGTTTATTAAAATATATTGCAAACCAACTAATCTAACAATAGTATAGTAATCGCATCAAATATCGCATAACGAAGCTATATATAATTTAGTAGTAGCAATTGTGTGTGCGGAATAGCAATTAGGATGTCAAGCGTGGACAATTTTTTGGCTCAGAAATAAAGCTCAGAAAACTGAGTTGCATACAACTTTGTTTAATTAGGAATTGATCAATATACACATGTGAAATGTGATAATAATATAATAATAATAATAATCATAATCATAATAATAATAATAATATAATAATAATAATATAATAATAATCTTATATGTACACAAAATTAAAAATATCGTAATAAAATATAACTCTACCGATAATGTGCTAATTTATAAATCAGAAGTGTGCATATCAGGACTGTGTGTCATGAATACAAATCGTAAACAAATACACGTAATATAATAAAGCAGGCTTTCTCAAAATAAAATCTGCCTTTGGATATTTTTATAGGTTTTTATCCTAATTTTACTTGTCTAGAAATTTAACGGTTCTTAAATTTTAGTGCAGCATTTGATACGAATGACAGAAGTAGAGGAAATAAATAAACCAATAGAAATCTTGTGCATTATAAATAAAGATGATTATATGCAGAAGCCAAGTACGGTGTTATTTAAGAAACAAATGCAAAAATTGTTTCAAATTAAAAATTATTTGTTTAACTTATATATTTAGCTAATATATATATATCAGAATGTTTCTGTGCTGTGTTATATAAATATCGTCATACGATTATAAAAACAATTTGCATTATTAGTCAAATGCTATAACTGCAAAAATATATAATAATTCGGCTACCAAAACACATCTGTCTTGTTATCAGAAAAATTAATAAATATATAATGTATATATATTACACCTGCATTTTTTTAAATTAAAAAGCTATGAGTCATATGATTTGATAAACACATTAATTTATTGCAATAAATATGTGACTAAGGTGCGATATATTTATAATTTAAAAGTATGTAAATATTGTAAAATATATCTAAGACTAGAGGGAAACTTATAAAGTGCTTGTGTGATAAAACATTAATGATAACAAATGCATATTTCTATTATAAAATAAAGTTCTATTAGTGTGTAATGTAATATATATTTATATGTATATTACTCATTAGATAAATTTTTTCTTTTCTATTTTCTTTGCAAATTGCAACATCAAAGATAGAAACCAATTCGAAATTAAGATAAAGAATACAATTGAAAATGCAATGTATATATACATTTCATTAATCATTCATCAAATAAACTTTAATGTCTATCAGCTTTAATGTCTATCAAACTTTAATGTGTATATCAATAGTACACTGCACATTATCTTTGTATAAAAAATTTAAATTTCATATATTTATTATAAAGAGCCTACTTATATTATTAATTACAGTCTTTCTAATAATATGCATATAAAGTTTCATATTATTTAAGAGAAGACAGAAACACCTTACCTTCCTTAGTAATTTATAATCTATTTAACGTAATTTATTTCTTTACAATTTATTTTTAAATAATATCTATGACACTCGATTTTATATCAATATCGATATCAAATTAAAGCTAATCCCTAGTCTTCAAAACACAATACTGACTAAGCTGATTTCTATTTCAGTGCTAACTAAATTTTTCTAGTGTTATAAACATAAATTATTTATAAATTATCTCATTTTTTTCTTTTGCTCTCCCTTTCAAGAAAAATATTAGCATAGAGAGCAGTACTTCTTACGTTCGATATAAAAATATCTGTTGTGACACTTTGTATGTATAAATAGGCTCTGTATAATCTTTAGATTAACGTCGAGTGTGTAGGGAAATGTGGATAGGTTACCTGTGTATCTGGAGGAGCTGTAGACTCTCCACCTACAGATGTTAAATTAGGCGTATAGGCGACCCCACGAAGTGCCTGTCCAGGTGTTACTGATCTAGCAATCCCAGTGGCTAAAAAAACATAATGATTAATTATACATTCTCTTATAATTTAATTCTTGGGGATAAGTTTGTGATAAAATTGTGTTGCATAACTCATCAGTTTAGAAATTTATATACATATACAGGGTGTCCCATTTTAATGCCCCACCCCAAATAACTTTCTTATTTTTAATTTTAGAAAAAGATGTTTCAGACAAAAGTTGTATGGTTTCGAGGGGGACATAAGATGGTACCATTAATTTGATCTTGAAGAGTCACATGAAGGTTACGTGAAGATCATTTTCAATTTCTTAAATGGAACACCCTATATATTTTTGCATATTCTTGTAGCTTATCTCGAGAGCTTTCCAAAACACTATAATTAAATTAGTTTTCATTAAGTACTTTCCAAGTTATGAGGCTTGAAATCATTTTTTAATTTTACATAAACCATAAAATATCTTGTAAAATATTCATTTTTTGATTATCTTACCTTAATACTTTTATGTACAAAATAATGAGAGAAATCCATTGGTGCAAAGAAAACATACAGTTGTTTTTAAGAAAAAAATATGTAATTTGCAATTAACAATTCCATATTTTTTCTTAAAAACAATTGTATGTTTTCTTTACACCAATTGATTCCTCTCATTATTTTGTACATAAAAATATTAAGGTAAGATAATCGAAAAATGAATATTTTACAAGATATTTTATGGTTTATGTAAAATTAGGAAATTACTTCAAGCTTCATAATTCGAAAAGTACTTGATGAAAAAATGTTTATTTATAGTGTTTTGGAAAGCTCTCGAGATAAGCTACAAGAATATGCAAAAATATATAGGGTGTTCCATTTAAGAAATTGAAAATGATCTTCACGTAACCTTCATATGACTCTTCAAGATCAAATTAATGGTACCATCTTATGTCCCCCTCGAAACCATACAACTTTTGTCTGAAACATCTTTTTCTAAAATTAAAAATAAGAAAGTTATTTGGGGTGGGGCATTAAAATGGGACACCCTGTATATATGCATACAATTGTGTAAATTTATATTTTACTAAAGAAATCATTTTAGCATAGACTTTGTGTATATATGTCACTTATTAAGATATAAATTGTTCCTTTTTGTATACATTATTTTATTGAGAGATTAAAGATTCTTACTTGGTCCACTGACAGGAACACTGGACACTGTGGCAGTGGGTTGGACAACTTTACTACTAACCATGGGTGTCCCTGTACCCAAAACTGTTCCTTTCACTATGAAAGATATTAAAGATTATCAAATTCTTTTTCTATTCTGTTTAATAATATTAATTAAATGCAAATCAAAAACAATTTAGAAAATGAAATAAGAATCATTACTCACACTATACTCTATTATATAAAATTATAATAATATATAATATTATATATTATTATAATTAATATTATAATTAATATAATAATTAATATTATTATAATTAATATAATAATATATAATATTATAAAATTATAATATATAATATAAAATATTTATATATTTTATAAAATTATAATAATATATAATAATTATAAATTACTATATTAATAAAATTATTCTTGATATATGATAAAATTCTTCATATATATAATTTTTATTTTCATATTGCACGTGGAACATACTTGTTTGCGGTGCGCTAGCCGGCCTGAGTGTTGGCATAGCAACTAAATTCGCTGGTTTTGCAGGAGGCGGTGGTGGAGTTACACCAACTCCTCTGGCAGGACCACGAGTCTGCGACTCCTTCCACGTGTCCATTTCAACTCGCAACTTTTCCAATTCCGTCTCGAAATCTTTCGCCCTCTTTTCCTCTTTTGTAAGGGCTTGCCGATATTGTTGCCTCTCCATGTCGAATTGCGCTAATTGTTTCTCCAATTCCGCTTCCATTTGCAGCGATTTCTTGCTCTCTTCCTCGAGGCCTTCGGCCATCGAATCTATCCTTACCTTTTCTTCACTGAGAATTTGAGCCAAATCTTCAGATCGTTTCCTCTCCTCGATATATTTCATAATGATCTTTTTCCGTTCCGCCAAGAGAAGCAGTACTATTTGCTTCTGTCGATTTTTCTCCTCTTCGAGATGATCGTTAACTTTTTTTAATTCCATCTCTAATCTTTTCTTTTCTTGTTTTTCTAATTCTAATTCCTTCTTCAATCTCGTCCGCTCCTTTTCAAGACCATAAGTGATATCATCACCTTGAGCAGTATCATGCTCATGTTTTCGTTTTTCCTCCTCCAATTCTTTAATTACCTGAAAAATTTTTTTACAATGAAATAATATCATTAAAAATAATAGTAATACATTCTCTAACAATATTAATCGTATAATTTCATGTAACAATAATAAAATACATACTGCTCTATGCCTAATTTCAGCATCTCTAAGGACCTTTGTCATTCTACATTGCGCCTTTCTTTGTTGCATCACCAATGCTTCTAGACTAGCTACTTGTTGATCAATTTGATTTCCTTCAACCCCAATAACGCCACCTACTATTGCTACGTCGCGAGCTAATGCCGCGTGTGGATCTGCGGTACTACTAAGGTACCGGGAACTTAGAAGATGTTTCATCTTTTCTGACTGGAAGGAAAAATCACAATTTTCACAATAAGATAAATATCATATAATATAATCCGAAAATTAAGATATAATCAAATATCTTAATTTAAGTATATATCTTAAATTAATAATACCTTAATTTAAATATAATCACTACGAAAAAATTAAGATATAATAAAATTAATAAGAGATTAATAGATAATAAAATTAAAACACAAGATACAATTAAAAAGCTTGTGAAATATAATAATATGATAAATCGTGCGGAGAATATTTTTCACAATTCATTCATATTGCTTTGTTATATTTCTTTTATATTCTTTCTAGACAAACAATCCATGAGATAAGTTTAAAAACTACATAAACGAGTATTATTAAATCTCGTCAATTCATAAAAAACTTTATACAATATATATAACTTAGTACATTTAATATTTGAAAATTACTTTTTATTATTTAAATGCCAAGAAGATTTATTTCCAAAATTCTTTAAGAAGAAATTTTTAAAAATCCTCAAATTAATTTTTCAAAACAAATCTTATAAAGGAAAAAAAAATACGCCAAGTACAAAAATGTTCTACCTTGCATGCAACAAAATGTTTGACAAGAAAACTCCAAACTAAAGAACTCGTTACGATTACATTTGCATACAATTATAAAATAGAAAAAATTTACGATTCCTTATACAATTAAAAATAAAATTAAAACACAATCAAGATACAATTAAAAAGCTTGTGGAATATGATAATATGATAAATCGTGCAGAGAATATTTTTCACAATTCATTCATATTGCTTTGTTATACCTCTTTTATATTCTTTCTAGACAAACAATCCACGAGACAAGTTTAAAAACTGCATAAACGAGTATTATTAAATCTCGTCAATTCATAAAAAACTTTACACAATACATATATAACTTAGTACATTTAACTATTAATATTTGAAAATTACTTTTTATTATTTAAACGCCAAGAAGATTTAATTCCAAAATTCTTCAAGAAGAAATTTTTAAAAATCCTCAAATTAATTTCTCAAAAAAAATCTTAAAAAAAATATGTCAAGTAAATAAAAAAATGTTCTCTCTTGCATGCGACAAAATGTTTAACGAGAAAACTCCAAACTCAAAGAACTCGTTACGATTACATTTGCGTACATTCATAAAATAGAAAAAAATTCACGATTCCTTATACAAATTCAATTACTTTTAATGCTGCTATCACAATATCCCTCGCTTGGAGCTCGCCTTCAAGATATCCCAGCAATTTCAGCAAATCAGTTTTGCTCAGCTCCATCTTTGGATTGCGCTGCAAGCAGAAGCGATTCCTAGTTAGACGTTCCAACATTTCCATAAATTATTCCAATCATTATTCACATCATTAATTATATCGCAACACCAACAGAATCATATAACGCAGCTTACTCAGGCATCGAAGGGCATACCTTGAGAGTATTGGAGGAACTCTTGTCCAGCGGCTCAATATTGTTGGCCTGCTGCTGCTGAGACTGCGAGGGCTGAACGGAAGCGGGGAGAGCCTGTGTCTTCGCGGCCGCGCTGGCCAGGACGAGGGGGGCGGGCGACGGCGCCGACGTCGACGGCGGCCCGTTGGCCGTCGTCGCCGGCGTCGCGGTGACGCCGACGATGGTGCCCTGACCCTGCGATGCCATTGCGCGCCGATCCCTGTCGGGTGAGGTATCTACCTGTGTCGATTCCGCTGGGGCGCCTCGCTCCCGAGCTAACTCGCTACCTCGTCGACCCCCTCACCCCTCGAGGCCCCGGGGACTGACCGGGACGGCCGCGAGCACCGCCGCCGACAACCAGGCAGCGGCCCGGAATGCTCGCCACATCGCCGTTCACGAGGTCGCCGGCGACCAGGACGGCTCCTCCGTCGAATCCCCCTCGAGTCCTTTCCCTCCGGCTCCTCCGGGTCGTCGTTTCACGGGCACGACGAGCACGAATCAACGCGGCGGCATCCGGCCCCGCTCCGCTCTCGTCTCCTAGCTCTCCCTCTTGACAAATCGAGCGCACAAAGCGCAGTTCGGTTCACGGCTAAAGCCAGCGAGAGCGAGGTGCCTCCTCGTGAAGTTGGCTGCTCGATCTCGAATCGATCCCTCTGATGACTATGGTTATCGATGTTCGAGAGATCGAGGCAACCTTAATTCTGGGAATGATTTTTGAAAATTTTGTTAGGGAAATGATTTTTTTTGAGGACAAATTATTTGTAAATTATTTTTAAAGAGGCTTCTTGTTAAACATTTTGTTGCATGCAAGGGAGAAGATTTTTTATGTACTTGATATTTTCTTTTACCTTTGTTTTTTTGAGAAATTAATTTAAGAATTTTTTTAAATTTCTTCTCGAAGAATTTTGGAAATAAATCTTCTTGGCGTTTAAATATTATTTATATTATTTATATATTTATATATATAAATTTCTTGGCGTTTAAATATTATTTATATTATTTATATATTTATATATATAAATATATAAATAATATAAATAATATTTAAACGCCAAGATTTAATTAATATTTAATTTAAATAATATTTAAATTAAATATATAAATATTATTTATATATTTATAATAAAAAGTAATTTTCAAATATTAAATTTTTTTTTTGCTCAATATGAACCTCTTGATCGAAATTTATTTCGCAGGACGTATTTTTGGGATATTGAACCTAATTAGAATTTAAAAAATTAATATTTCTAATATTTTCTTGATTTTTGATAAATAACAATTTCAGCACAATTTTGAAATATTTGATTTTAAAGTGATTCTACATTTTGTTCTTTTTTTTTAGAATTTTTTTCTAACAAAATTATTCAACAATATTTTGAAAATATACCCTATGAAATAAAACTGAACCAAGTTTTTTTACATTGTTTAATTTTTTTGTCTTTTGTTTATTTTTAATAAAACACTTCATCGATAATCCAACAAATTAAAACTTTCCACTTGTCGATAATAAAATAAAAATCGGAATAATAATTTATCATTTATTTTTAATTTTCTTGAATCAAAGATATTCAATCTATTCGTTTTACCTGTACACTTTTTACATTCGAAATCAAACAAATAAGTAACGAAAAAAAGAGAGAGAGAAAATTTGGAAGAAAAGAGAACGCAATTGAAAAGAGGCAACGATCTCAGCTGTCAACTGTCAAATTGCGCGGGCATTTATACCTGTCAAACGTCCCTTCCAAATCCGTATCCATTTCTTTTAAAGGTCAGCGCCTTCCCAACTATATTTATCTGTGGTCCAGCGATATTGATGTATTAGGCCCAGTTCCACAATCCAGTTAATTCGAGTTTAAATAGCGAATGGACCAATCAGGACCCAGTTTAACGTATTAAACTCGGATTAACTCGAATTGTGGAACCGGGCCTTAGCCAATCAATGTTTTGCCCCTACGTCCGCGGTAATTGAAAGGATAATTAATAATTGAAAAATATCGTCAATTTAAAAATTAAAAATGATTCAAATTCTTAGTTAATAATAATGTTAACATATTATGAAGTCACTTAAGTATTTTAAAAAATAAAGATAAATAAGTAAATCAACTATAAATGTTTTGTCACAGAATTTATTAGGAAAAATGTAACAAAATATTAACGTACAAATTTTAAAATTTTGTTTGAAAATGGCAAAGCACAAATTGACTTTATTTCTTCAATATGGAAGGTTCCATTTGTTCCAGCGTCATATGTGCGCAGAACGAGTCGAAATTTGGTCTGCTTGACGAGCACACCCTGTTACTTATTCCACCATGGAAGTTAGCAGTCTAGTGTAATATAGATGTCTGTGGTTCGGAGAGAATCCCGCGAATTTTCCCTATATAACATCCAATCAGGTGTTGTTAGACGGGCCAGGTTTTCTCGCGCATGCGCATTGAATATGATATCACTGAAGTAGTTAATCGCAATGTATTTTATTATTATTATTATATTTATATTATTTTATTATTATATTATTATTAATTTATTATTATATTATTATTATTTTATTATTATATTTCTATAATAATATTACTTAATTTAGAATAAGTAATATTATTATAGAAATATAATAATAATGGTATTATAAAATATATCGCGATTAGCTACTTCAGTGATGTCATATTCAACGCGCATGCGCGAGAAAACCTGGTCCATCTGACAACACTGCATCCGGATCCAGTGCATGCACACATACGTCGAGGTGCACTCGCGTGCTTTACGATGTCGGCCCGCAAACCCCTATCGGCGTAAAAGTTGCTCACGTCGCGTCGCGCTGATATCTCACGTTGCTGCGACGTCGATGACGGAAGGACCTCCCGTCTCTCGCGGCAACCGCTTTCTATGCGTATGGTCCCGCGCGCGTTCCTCGCCGAGGGTGGTATGTGGTATAGGAAGGTGCGCTGCGGCAACTGGTCTTGATACGGGTACGTATACGTAAGCGTGATACGCGAGATGGGCAACCAGACGACGCGCTCCGGGATCGCCTCCCAGAGGAAGCTGGAGTCCGCGAGTTCGACGGCGAACGCCGCTCCGTGTGACGTCACCAGGAGCGAGACGGACCACAGCTCGTACACGGAATTCCTCCCGATCGAGAGTCTGACCAAGGTGCTAGTCACGTACATATATCCCCCCCCCCTCTTCCCTCCTCCCCCTCTCGTGTGATGTGCAAACTGACTTGTCAAAGTGACAATTTAAAAAAAAAATTTTTTTTAATAATAAAAAATAGATACTGGACCACAATTGGAGCAGAGTGTACTCGTCACATGCATATATCCCCCTTCCCTCCTCCCCCCTATCCTCTCTTGTGTGATGTGCAAACTGACTTGTCAAAGTGACAATTTTTTTTTTTTTTTTTTTAATAAGAAAAATAGATATTACACCACAATTGGAGCGGAGGGTACTCGCTTGTCACGCAGAATGTAGTTGGAATTAAGCTACAGCTGTTTGGGAAGACAGACTCTCAGCTGACTCATATTTATGTCACTCTTATGTCAGAAATATTTGCAAATAGTTTCAATAGTCGACACTCTTTCTTTTGAAAGTTTGGGGCTCTCTAGTGAAATTAATGTAGAGATTCATTCGGTTAATCATCCAGTCGCAAATTAATAGTTATTATATTTTATATTCTAATAATGTCGCACGATTAATTTTATGCGACAGAAATGAGAGAGTACATATATAATTTACTTCTTTTTTTTGCGAATTTTACCAATGTAGAAGCAAATTATTTCACTTATAATTTATTGGAATATTTAGCGCCATGTAATATTAATTTATAAATGTATTTTGCAGATATTAGTGCATCTTGCCCACGAAGAGGAGCATGTTAATGGCATTACCAAGTCCGTATTCCAAAAATACTTATTTCCCACTCATCCTGAATTAAGTGAGAAGCTCTTTAGCTATTTACATCATAACGCTCAAGCTACGACCACATATATAAGTACGACAGCTTTCAAGCAGCAAGCCGAGAAGTTCCTGTCAGTAATGAATGATCAAGCTATATTAGAGAATTATATAAAAATGTATTCCAACATAAAGGACGGTGGCAATGTTACTCCTGAAACATTGAAGGCCTTATTGATGTGCTGTTATCAATTAGCGATGGAAAACAATAGTACCAGCATGTGCCTTCGCTCAGAACAGATAATAAATGCGGTCGTTGTTTCGTGCGTTAGTACATTTATTGAATTTAATAAAATATATGTAGTTAAGATTCCATTATTATGTATAAGTCAATATTTATAGAAATATCTAAATTTGCATGCTTAAAAATGAATAATTTGTAGCATCGCAGTATTATTAAATCTTTAATATTTTACAGTTTCACGGTAAAAATAGCTTATCCACGAATTATGTGAGCAATTGGATTGGACAGCATTGTCCACGCATGGTGCATGGCCTACAACGATATGTGGTGCATGTATTGACAACTGCTTATCGCAGTGGAAAAGCACTTCTGTCGAAAGAACAACCGCAACCTCCTATCGAGATACCGACGCCCGTGTTGGAAAAGTCCAACTTAGAATTTCCTCAAACAAACTTATTGCCTATAAGCTTTGTCTGGTTGTTGTCATGTACACTACCGCAGTGTTATCTCCAGGTATGTTGTCACGAAGAATGATCAATAATATGCATAGGACACAATCATTATAATCATCATAATCATCTCTACATCTGTCGATTATAAAATAACCGATGTTTGTAGAGATGATTATGATGATTATAATGACTATGTCCTATGTATAGAATATACAGGGTGCTTCAGAAATAGTTGGTCAAACTTTAAGATCAAAATTTAAGCAACTTTAGTTCACAAACGCTTCCTTTTCAAGTTGTAAACATTTTCTATTTACTTTACTTACAGACTTTAACAACATTTGAATTGCAAGAACATTTAATAAGAAAGTGTTATTATAACTTGAAAAAAGCGTTTCCGAGCCCATGTTTATATGATTTTTTCATTCTTACAATGAGTGGAATGCTCTTAAAGTTTGGCCAATTATTTCTAAAGCACCCTGTATATTTGAAAAGATCGATTACAATACAGTGTCCCATTTTAATCGATCACCCTGAATAACTTTTTTAATTTTGATTGTAAAAAAAAAGTTTCAGACAAAAATTGTATGGTTTTAAGGGGCACATAAGACGGTGTCATTAGTTTGACTTTGAAGAGTCACCTAAAGGTCACGTGAAGATTACCTCCAACTTTTTAAACGGGATATCTTATATGCTTTTGCATATTCTTGTAGTTCATCTCGAAAGCTTTCTAAAACACTATAATTAAGTTAGTTTTTATTAAGTATTATCCAAGTTATGAGGCTTGAAATCATTTCTTAACTTTATATAAACCATAAAATATCTTGTAAAATATTCATTTTTCGATTATCTTATCTTAATACTTTTATGTACAAAATATTGAGAGGAATCAATTAGAAAACACACAGATATTTTTAAGAAAAAATATGTAATTGTTAATTGCAAATTACGTATTTTTTCTTGGAAACAATTATGTGTTTTCTTTACATCAATTGATTCCTCTCATTATTTTGTACATAAAAGTATTAAGGTAAGATAATCGAAAAATGAATATTTTACAAGATATTTTACGATATATGTAAAATTAAAATGATTAAAAAAAAATGATTTCAAGCCTCATCACTCGGAAAGCATTCAATAGAAAAATACTTTATTACAGTGTTTTGGAAAGCTCTCGAGATGAGCTACAAGAATATGTAAAAGCACATAGGGTGTCCCGTTTAAAATGTTGAAAGTGATCTTCAGGTGACTCTTCAAGGTCAAACTAATGACACCGTCTTATGTGCCCCTTAAAACCATACAACTTTTGTCTAAAACATTTTTTTCTACAATCAAAATTAAAAAAGTTATTTAGGATGATCGATTAAAATGGGACACCCTGTATTGTGCCCGCCTATAATCAAAATCTATAGCTGTTAAGTCTTCGTATCTATGTGCGTGGTGTATATGTGTGTATAGACCAACGATTCACCGAAGGATGTAACTCACGCTTTGATAGCCAGAAGAACAGGCAGTATTTGTCCAAGACATTGGACGTTACTGTACAATAGCGGAGAGCATGGGACCGGAGCTAATCGCTTCCTTCACCATGTATTAGGTTACAGAGGTCCTACTCTACTAATTATAAGAGCCGCTAGTGTAGAGAGAGACGAGGAATGTGCTACGTACTGCGTATGTTCGACTGTCGAGTGGCGGGAGAGTCATCTCTATTGGGGCGATGAAGATTCAATGGGCATTCAACTGACTCCGTCCTATAAAATTATAGAGAAAGGTCCGAAAATACTATACCTGAACACGAATATCAGGGGCTATCCGCATGGTTTGCGACTTGGTAGCGATCCACGTTCGCCGTTTATTAGCATCGACGAATCATTCCATTCTGTATCTATTGCTGGCGCGCCTTATCGTATCGCCAGTTTGGAAGTCTGGGGCTGTGGTGATACAAAGTTAAGGTACATCTCTTTATAAATTACTTATAAGTTAAGAACATCTCTTTATAAATAAACTTTACAACAAAACTGACTGTTAAGAATATGACATCATTGATATATTTACAGAGAGAAGCAGTTGGAGATTAAAAAGTGGCAAGTAAAGGAGGTGGAGAAACAGAGAGTTGTGAAACTAAGCGCTAGCGATTGGTTGGACCATCCTGATCGTTATTTATTGGAGTTGGCTGGTAGAGCGTCTTACAACGAATCTAATAATTAAAGCAGGCAAGAGGAGAACGTACATAACTGCTCATACTATTTTATTTTGTACATATGTATATAGTGTCAAAAATATTATTGGAATTTTTCTGTACTTATATGGCGCACAAATGTGCGCAGGAAATGTGATCATGTGACTTGTGCGAAATACAAGGGACTTATGCTTGACGTACTTAAGTACAAGTGCCAAGGTTTATAATGGTGCCTATTTTTTTTTCAATATTTCCTCCTACGTAATACGAAATTAAAGGCTACTAATGGAATTTATCTTTTGGATCACTTGCATAAACAACATGTAAAGATTGAAAAAAAAAATATATATTTTTTTTTGGTACAAAATCATACGTTTATATTTCAATACATAGTTGCAAACTTATCAATAATTGTAAAATACTTTTACGAGAGATTGAGCTTTATCATTCACATTTTATATATTATGTAAATATTGAAAAATTATCATAAATTATCTTAATATCATTAATCAACTACCAAAGGATAATTGAAAATAATGTAATCGACCAAAAGTATCCAGAATTTTTGTTTATTAATACATTGTAATTAATAAACAAAATTTGCAAATTTAATTACAAAAATTTAATTACATTGTAATTAATAAACAAAATTTCAATTAATTACATTTGTACTTAATAAACAAAAATTCCGACTACTTTTGGCCGATTGCATTATTTCCAATTATCCTTTGATTAATTGACTAGCGACATTAAGATAATTTATGATAATTTTTCAATATTTATTATAAATATTATTAAGATAATTTATGATAATTTTTCAATATTTATAATAAATTATCATAAATTATCTTAATACCGCTAGTCAATTAATCAAAGCATCATTGGAAATAATGTAATCGACCAAAACTAGCCAGAATTTTCATTTATTAATTACAAATATAATTAATTGAATTTGTGTTTATTAATTACATTGTAATGAAATTACAAAAATTCTGGCTAGTTTTGGTCGATTACATTATTTCCAATGATCCTTTGATTAATTGACTAGCGATATTAAGATAATTTATGATAATTTTTCAATATTTATAATAAATATTGAAGTCAATTAATCAAAGGATCATTGGAAATAATGTAATCGACCAAAACTAGCCAGAATTTTCGTTTATTAATTACAAATGTAATTAATTGAATTTTTGTTTATTAATTACAATGTAAATAATAAACAAAAATTCTGGCTAGTTCCAATGATCCTTTGAAAAATTATCATTTATTAGGCTATTTTTTATCGTTAAATGATGTCGCATTTTATTATTCTTTGATTTCTTTATCATTATTACTATTGTCAATTTTAGAAACGAGACTCTCCCAATTAAAGTCTGCCTCACCGTTGTGCAAACTTATCACATTCTTCTCATCAATGACGTCAAACAAATTTTTAAACGGCGTATATCTCGTCAAGGTCATCTTATCAGAGATTATAACCAGCTTATGTCTCGCGCGAGTGATAGCCACAGTCAAACGTCGCTGATCGTCCAATATCTCGAATTCCTTCTTCGTATTGCATTCGGTACTCTTTGTACACGAATACAATATAACATCCTTATCGCGTCCCTGGTACTGATCCACAGTGTTCACTTCCACCTCCTTGTCCAAGATCTTTTTCAACAAATTTATTTGAGCGTTATAAGGAGCGATGACCCCTATATTTCTACCGCACACACCTGCCTTTGCGAGCGCTTGGACGAGTCGCAGGATAACAGCCGCTTCCCAAACATTTGAATACACCTGGTCGTTTCTGTTTACAGACTCTACACTCAAGTTGTAAGTGTTACCGGTGTCGAGCACCACCACCGAGTCATCTACATTCCTGGAGAGTGCGCTTCTTATCCATCCCTCGCAAGACGAAAGCATTTCCTCCATATTGGTGCCGGTTAAAGTCGCATTTTCCACCTGCTTGTTGGCCGGTTCCAACTTGCCATGGTATGTCACGTCATTGGCCAGTCTCATAATTCTCCCGTTCATTCTGTACTGCTTCAACAGATTGACAGTATTATTGTCGCTGTCTAGCCTGGTGAACAGGGACTCGTCCGCGCCAAGTCTCGCAGCTGTCTTGTTCTTGACAATAGGCGGCAGCTGATCAGGATCCCCGACGAGGATAAACTTGCGCGTGCTGTACAGTGGACGCAGCACCGTGGGCTGCATGATCTGGGCGCTCTCGTCCACCACGCATACGTCGAAAGTGCGTCTCCTGAGAAGAGCGTGATACGCGCCCAAACAGGTGACGCCAACGATCTGCTTGCTGTTGTAAAGTGTCTCCAGACTCTCGGGCGAGTCGCAACTCGCCAATGCGTATTCCTCGCTCTTGCACGTCAGCAGTGGATGTATCTGCTTGGTCGAGCCCAAGCGCAGGAAGTCAATGTTGCGTTCCAGCAATTTTAACAGAAGATTGTCCACCGCGCTGTGGGTGTGCGCGGTGATCAGGACACTGGAGCCCAATGTTTGGAGCAGCTCTATCAATGCTACCAGCGTTTGCGTCTTTCCCGTACCTGGCATGCCTTTTATCAAAATGTACTCGTTGGCGGCCAACGCCTTCAACACGGCCCTCTGTTGATTCTCATTGAGGTCGCTTATTATTTTGGCGCTGGCCGACACGATTGAACGAGGCAACTTCTCTGCAAACGTGGCCGGGATCCTATCGATGACGATGCACCGAAGTTTGACGATGGACTCGTCATCGTTGCTTAATAGACCGGCCACATTTGCATAATTGAACGTGGACAGACCTGTGGAAGATGAGTATTTATCAATGTGGAACGTAGAGTCCGCGTTCTGCCGCGTAACATCTTTGTCCAACAGGACTGTGACAGTGTCATGCGAAACATGCATTATGTGTCCGGCAGCTATGTTAATTTTTGCATCAGTGCTGATGATGACATAATTGTCCTCGGTGAACGAGCTGCTGAACGTGCCGTCGTCGATGGTCTCACCCTTGATATTAACACGGGCAAACTTATGCCGATACCTATCGTCTTGCTCCATCACTACTTCACCCACGATCTTCAAGTTGCAGATACATGTTCCTCTGGCCTCTCTCTTTTCCGCACTCATGGTCCATACGTTGCTTAAACTGTTAACGTTCTCATAAGCTTCTTCCAGTTGGAGCAACGCGATCCATGTCATAACGTAGTCTAAATGACTAGATTCAAAATCGTTGAGCAGTTGCGTCATCGGCAACGTTAGTTGATGCGACTGTGACAAATTTACATTTGGATCCTTTGTTAGATACGCGCAACATAGAGTCTGATAGGGACACCTGGTGCACGCAGGATGATTTATTGGCTCTGGCAATTCCATCGTCTTTAAATCTGACTGCGAATCCACGTTATGGTCTTCAGGTTTTTTGGAGAAATAATGAACCAAAGTATTCCGCAGCAATATTAAGTCCCTTTTCTCATGATGACTGCTTTTAATTTCCTGCATGGCGTTTTCTTTCAGATACAACAGAAGACCAGTATCGATATCCTGATCTCTAGACCCCATCATCATGAGATAGAGAATAACTTGGCCCTTATGCTCGAGCGAGTAAGAAGCTCTTCCGGTTTTCACCTCCAAAGGCATGATTTTTCTTCTCGAATTGATATTCACTTCTGCCGTCACATCTATTCTTCCTTTTATACCTAATTTTGGTATGTAAACACTCTCCTCGATGTCTTGTATGTTACAGATTTTCCCCTGAAAATTGTTCTTCAAGTCTCTTATGCGTTGCTGCTCGTTGTCCTTGATGTAATGCTGAATGAACTCGAAAATTCTTGGCGCATACTCCATCATGCGTTTCCGACAATCTGCGAGCGACAATTCCGATGAGTAGAGATAGTCTATCGTGCTTTTTGATTGTAACATATCATCAAGCAATTTGATCACGTCAGACAACGCGCAGATGTTTTCTCTTAGTGCCTTTTGCAGCCATTGATGAACCAACGATCCCACAGTCATCACAGAATAATCAGCATTCAAACTTGGCAGTGATTCTATCTTTCTAAACTTGTCGGTCAACACTGCTCGTCTATTGCAAAATAAGCCACTCGTTATTGTCGTGCCTGATATCAGCATATCAGGATTGGTAACGAGGAAACCATTGTTATTATCAATAATCCACTGCTGTGGACCTTTCTTGGCCTGTATCATGACGATGTCATCAATTTTCACTTGTACATCTTTCCAAAATCCTGAACATGCAACAACATCAGTATTTTCAGATTCTATGTGCTGTACTGTTAGGACAGTAATTTTTAGTTCATGTTTGATATCAATTATTTTACACCTTTGCAGAGTAGTGAAATTGATCTGTACGTGACATTCCTGATCGAAGAAACTATCAAATTCATCTTCATCTATTGTGGAGAAGTCCTGGGAAGATTCTGTTTTTTTCAAATTATGTAGTGCGTCTTCTTTACAAGAAGGCAATTCGGCAAAAGAAGACTTTAAGGCAGTAGTATTTAGATCTTGTGTTTCCTTAAGAACACGATCTTTATCTATGACTTTGGAAACAATTGTATTTCTAGCATTCTGTGATGTATCTAGCTTAGTTTTCACTTGGTTATTCACTTTTTTATTAACTTTTTCAAATGGTGCTTTATCGCAAGCTTCATTTTCTAAAAAACTATCGTCTGTAAAATCCCCTGTTACAGATAATAATATCGAATCTTCATGCAATGTAATGTTTTCTGTCGTTGCAACACAATGTTCCTTCAATACGTTATTATTTGCGTTACATATTCTCTTAATGGTTATACATGATTCTTCTTCACACATATCATCTTTTTCTTTTCTTTTCTTCACAATCGAGACTTGAGATGAATTTGAATTTGATACAATCTCATCATTGCTTGCTTCAGACTTGAAAATTTTTGGAAAAAAAGATGATATTCTTGTCTGAGATTTTTCAACATTAATATGAGTAGATACCTGTGGACAAAAATAAGCTTAATGATTTTATAATATAATTAATTTTTTAATACATCTTTCATATGAATATAATATATCCAAATCTTTTATTACATAATTGTATTAAAATTAATCCTATAAATTAATAATCCATAAAATTAATCCTATAATTAAAATTAAATCTATATTAAAATATAAAAGTAAAAATAAAGTACTATCTTTATAGTTTATTATACAAATAGTTTATTATACAAATAAAAACGAGAGATAATATTAATAATCACATATCTATATTAAAATATAAAAGTAAAAATAAAGTACTATCTTATAGTTTATTATACAAAAAAAAAACGAGAGATAACATTAATAATCGCACATGTATTTTGAAAATTAATAACAACATAATATATAGACACACATGTAAATATTTATATATACTAATTACCTTCTTCTGTGACAATTGACGTTTCTTCATGTTTACATGCAATATATATATTTAAAATAATCTTATATTGCATTACAGATCGTGTATGATTAATCTTAGTTCAGCGTAATCTTATATTAAAGAGGTAAAAATTACAAGGTAAGTATCTATTCCCGCGTAAACATCTCGCAACATGTCGCCATTTTGACAGACACGTTTTATGAATAACTGTAGATGGACGTGCTCGATCGGAAAATCGGACTTACCTTTCATAATTATATAAGAGAGAGTTCGGAAATTTGACTGAAGTAGAATAACGTTTAATTGACCAATCAGGAAGCGAAGATTCTTTGTTTTGATTAGCCAAATAAATGTTACTAGAGAGAAGCCTGAAAGGGGATCCAGCATCTATACAGGTGCAATTTCATTGACGCTACTTTTTAGCATCAATGAAAAGGCCGCTTACGTCTAAAGAATCAGATGGGATCCGATAGTCCACATCGCCAATTGGCCAATTCAAAAGGCCTCTCCGATTGGTTAATCGTTGCTGGTTACTCTAGGCACAGGTCGATATAATTGGCTGTATATATAGGGTGCTTTCCAGCTATGGTAACACAGTGATACACTGTGTGACACAGTGTTACACAGTGTCGACTTGTAGCTGGAACGCTTTTTAGCTTTCTTATTTTGCCACTAGAGTGCAGGGCAGTCACTTTTAATAGTTGTCACTAGGTCTAAATTTTCAGAACGTTCCCACACAACATTATGTCGTCTTAAAGACGTCTAGATGTCTTTAAGTCGTCTTTTTAGCGAATATAAAAGTTTGGTTATCTTCTATCACGCAATACCATTCTTAAAAAAATTAATGATACCAAATATGAAATGTTATGTTGGCACTCACTGGGGTGCTACAAAACGACGACACAGGCGAACATAGCATTTTTGCTGTGTACGATTGTGTCGACTTGTGTCGTAGTTGGAAAGCACTTGTATCGACACTGTAGCGACACAGTGTCGCCTGTGTTGCTTGCTGGAAAGCACCCATATATATATATATATATATATATATATATATATATATATATATATTATATATACTTATTCTATATATATTTTTATATAATTTGCTTATATATTAAAAAAAATATATATATGTATATATGTATATACTTTTTTAAATATATATATATCCCTTAGTAAATTAGAAGTAAAAAAGAAGTGATATAATCCTTAAAAACTTACCTTTTTAAAAAAAGGTGAAAAAAGGGCGCCAAGTTCATGCACTAATTGTATCAAACTGTTATATTGTCTATAAAAGTAGTGATATAAAAAAATTGCGCCAACTAAGAATAAAAATTTGTACAAGATAAATAGAAGTACAAGGAAGAAAACTTGTACAAGTTAAATAGAAATATTTTAATTGAAAACATTGTTATACAAAATAGTTGTTTTAATTTTCAAAAATAACAATATTAGAAAATTAAAAATTTATTTAAAAATTGAAAACTGAAAATTAATATAAAACAAGAAAATAAAAAAAAATTTAATTAAAAAAACTTGGCGCTGCCAATTTAGAAATACTTTTAAGATATGTCTACTAAATAATTACGTGACTATAAAAATTGAATATAAAAATAAAAGATTGAGCGATTTATTTTTTTACAATGTTATATTTATCGTTATATTAATATTATATTAAGAAAACGTTACATCGTACATTATACATATTAATATAAAAAACATTTTTTAATATTTTATTAATATTTTAATAATATAGAATTAATATTAATTAATAAAAAAAATAATACGTAGATGAGCAAAATTTATTTATAAAATTTATATGAAAGGCTTACATAAGATTTCTTTATATGTCCATCATCAAAGAAATGTAATAAATCATTTTTGTATGGAATGATTTGCATTAATATTTTAAAGAATATAAAATTAGTACAATTTCCGCTTAATAATATTAATAACTCTATAATTTATATTATATATTATATATTATATATATATAATATTACATATTATATATTTTTATAACATATTAATATAATATGTATAATTTAATATATTATATAATATATTTTACAATATATAATATTTTACAATATATAATATTATATAACATTATATCTTTGTAATATATATTATATACATTATTTATGAGTTATATTATTATCTTTATATGTATTATAATTTTTAATTAATTGTGATAATCTATTTATTCATAAACAAGAAGAAATTTTGTCAATTAAATTTACATGTGTTACACGTATTGTCCATAATATAAGCTTCTTAATGTATCGCGTTAAAAATGTAAAATATCTTATAAAAAAGGTTTTTCTCATATCATTTTTTGTTTTTTTTTTTGTATCTCCTTAAATAGCAGCATTACAGCTTAAAAATATGCAGAATAATGAAATTTTCACTCGTCTTTCTTAAACATTATAATAATCGCATTATAACTTATAAGTATACTAGAAAATTAAATTTTAGTCATTCTTCAATATTGTACTCTTCAATATTTTTAACAGTAGATGGTCTTATCAATTTCCATTCATAAGTGCTTTTGTACCATTGATGATAAAGTTCATATATTCTGTAAATAAATAAAAAGTAAAAAAAAAAGCAATTTATATCTTTATATTATGTTTATTATATAATATATGCTTATAATATATGTTTTATATTTTTATTAAGATATTTTAGTATTTTTACACACACAATTATATAATTTAAATTAGAATAGTTTTCGTTTAATGAATAAAATTGCTATCCCATGACATACAAATTATCTCAAGTCTAAATCATCTTTAGTCTAAATAGATTATTTTTTAATTTAGATTTGATGTAAATTTGTTTTAGTACCAAAAAGTACCAAAAATAAGTCATTTGTGTCATTTATTAATTTATATCTTTATTGTATATCTTTATGATCAATTCTTATATTTATTATTATTAATTAATAATAATGGTTTCAAATAATATACATAATATAATAAGCATATGTATTAATTTCAATTCTTTATTTTTTGAACTTCAAGGTCTTCGCGAATATACTTTTAATAGTTGAAAATCAACGAATGCAAAATGTTAGATTAATTAGTTAATTGAATACTCTTACCCTTTAATAATCTCATATATTGTAGGCGCCATCATATAACTATCCCAAAGAAATATGCATTGGTTAATGATTTTTGTGATAAAGGGAGACAGGACATATAATAGCGCTACAGAAACTATTCGTCCAATTATGTAGTTTACAAATATCATAAGTAGTATCAAAAAAATATCGTAACTAACTTTTAGAAGCATCTGAAAGAATTTATTCCCATTTTTATAATATTATTGATATTATATGAACACATTTAATAAAAAAATAATTATTTAAATAAATTATTTTAATATTATTATAATCAAAATCAAACGTAGAAATAATAAAACATCATAGAAATTATTTTATCATTTTATTTGTTTTCTGATATGCTCTTATTTATTTTACACTGTAATTTATTTATTGAATTGTTATGATTACATCTATAAATCATTCCGTTTAAGTTTTAAATCTTCTTGACTTTATCATCAAACATTCCTTCACATTTTATAATTATTATAGGCAGTCCGCCCTTCAAAATATGACAAAAGTTTAAAATTTTCATTTCAAAATATCAAAAAATTATAATCTGATCGTACATATAAATAATATAATATAAGTTCTGTTACCATGCTTTATTATTATTGTAGCATATGTTTATATATGAATTTTGACTTTAACGATTTTAGCGTTTGCCTTAAATTTAATATCTGCTTATTATTTTGTAAAAACATCTTTTTTAATTTATAAAATCTATATATATATATATATATATATATATATATATATATTAAAATAAAATTTTTTTTATTTTTCTAAAAGCTAGCTCGCTATTCTTTACAATTTTTGAACGGTTATAAGATGTATTGTGACGTTACCTTTAATAATGATTTGGGCCGTCTTTCTAATGGATAGCGAGCATTACAATATGGGCAATAAAATATGTTTGCAGCAATTACTAACTTCGTTAGACAATAAACATGTATCAATTTATCTGCACACCTACATAGGCATACGAGTTCTTCCCTGTTATCCTCATCTATCATAAACAGATTTATATACATAATATATTTTTTAATAATAATGATGAATTTATACAATATATATCCAATCTTTTTAATAAATAAATTACATGGATACATACTTTTATGTGTGTTTGTGTGTGTGTGTGTGTGTGTGTGTGTGTGTGTGTGTGTAACGCATAAAAAGCGTTACACACACGCATAAAAAACGCATAAAAATTTATAATACAAAATACATAACGCTAAAAAAATTTATGCTCCGTAATTATCTTTATAAAAAAAATTTATAAACACCGATTATTTCATAAAAATAAAATTATTTCATAAAAATAAAGCTGCATACCTAGTTTACAACGCCAACAACAATATGACGAACTTGCGATCTCTTTGTCTTCCATGTGGAGAAATATGTATGCCTTTGTTATAATAGCGGATTGATACGTCTTATGAATTTAACTCTCCACGTTGTCACTGTAATCTCTTAATACTGCTAACTTTAATGCTAACTGTTCTGATGATTTATTTACATTTATTCTTCTGACAACAACAGTCGCTGAAAATATTTAAGACCTTGAGACTTTAAGATTTGAACGAGAGACAGCGAGAGCGAGAATGAGAAAGAGAGAGAAAGAGTGAGAGAGAGAGGAAGGGGGATGAAAGAAAGAAAATAGAGAGAGAGAAAGAGAGTATTTTTTATATTCAACAAACATATCATGCTTGTAGCACAATTATAATATATTATATTTTATATAATAATTTTTATTATCTATGTACGCATATACTCGTATTTTTAATTTGTATTTTTCGATTTGATCAAAAGTTTAATTGATCAAAGAGCAAAATCATTTGTTTTTTGGTCCATTTGGTGGTCCTTAAATTATAAATTCGAATTGTGATCTAATAGCTTATGTTAATATGGATTCGCTCATTTTTTATAACTTTCACAATTCTTCCTATCTCTGAAACCGTTTTTATGTTCAACTTGAAATTTTTTCCAGATAAACTTCCCAGATGACTTCCTTAAAATTTTTCCCAGATCACTTTCCCAGATGACTACGTTGGTGATTTTCTTGAAATAATTCGATATATTGAGAGTGATATTATGTATGTTATCTTTTTAAATGAATAAAATATTCTTTAACACGTTGAAATATTTTTTATTAAATTGAAACCTTTGCGCCGTAATAGTAAACCGTTTGAAAAGCTACTTGTCTGAGGTTTCTTAAATCTTTACAACTTTTTTTTTACTGCATTACTTCAGATAAAATATTTTTATATTTCTGCACCTTTCTATTAAATCATAATTAATTCTTCTGAAAAATTTTATAATTAAATTTATAATTAAATTTTTTTATTTTATATTATTTCAAAATGTTGAATTTTTGAATTTAAATATTAAGTCAAAATAATTAGCTTATTATAAATTTAAGCAGGAATCGCATAATTGAGACGATTATATAAAAAATCAATAGCATTATTAATAAGATAGTTATTCATATTCTAAAAATTGGACTGCTTAAAATTTAACTTCTATTTAGAGTTAATAGTAGAAATAGTAGAGTTAATAGTAGAAATAATTTCACTGATATCGAGAATAATTTCATTGACATCGAGAGATATTCAAATCACCCAATATGTGTGTCATAATAATCGAAATACATAAAGTCTCTAGTACTGAAGATCCTGAGATATTGTAAAAAAGGATCTGATATTCAAGTTCACATTTGCCTGTTCATTCATATGGTAGTAATTACAAGTATTACAGATAATTATTATGCCCATACGTGTAAAGCAAGTTGTAATTTCCGATTATTAATTTATCAGTATTAACTTACATTGTCATCATTTTTTCAGAGGCAATGTAAATCATAAACAGAAGAATCTTAATTTAAAAGGCAAGAGTCAATAACATGTGTTTATAATTTAATCGTATGTCGAAAAAGTTATTCAACACATGTTACAGTTACATTTAAAGTGCGATAAAAACATATGTGCACAATGCAAAGAAAGACTTATAAGTTATGTCTAATAAATAATTATGTGACTATAAAATGAAAATTGACAGCAAAAATAAAAAAAGTATGCGATTTATATTTATTTTTATATAATATTATATGTATAGAATTACATTAAGAAAACGTTAGTTAATATATTATAATATAAAAAATGCATTCTTTTATTATTATAATTAATATTTTATTAGTGTAGATTTAATTAATAAAAGAAATAATATATAGATGCGCAAAATATATTTTTATAAAAAATTTATATAAAAGAATTATATAAAAGGTTTCTTTTTGTATCTATCATTAAAGAAATTTTATACATCGTTCTTGTGTGAGATAAATCACATTAATGTTTCAAAGAATATAAAAATAGTACAATTTCCCCTTATTAATATTAATAACTTTTTAATTAATATTATATATAATATTATATATATTATATTATATATTATATCTTTATAACATTTAAATGTAATATATATAATGTAATATTATATAATATTATCTAATATATTTTGTAATATAATATTATATCTTTGTAATATATATTATATACATTATTTATGAGCTATAGTATCTTTGTATTATAACTTTTATTAATTTTGATATAATCTATTTATCCATGAACAAGATGAAATTTTGTCAATTAAATTTACATGTGTTACACGTATTTTTAATATAAGCTTCTTAATGTATCGTAGAAAATGTAAAACATCTTATAAAAGCGGTTTTTTTATATCTTTTTTTACATTTTTTTTATATCTCCTTTAAATAACAGCATTATAGCTTACATTACAAATATGCAGAACAATTTTCATTTGTCTTACTTTCTTAAATATTATAATAATCGCATTATAACTTATCAATTCTTATAAATATACTAGATCAATTCTTATAAATATACTAGAAAATTAATTTTTAGTCATTCCTCAATATTGTAATCAGTAGATGGTCTTATCAATCTCCATTCATTAGTGCTTTTGTACCATTCATGATAATATTCATATATACTGTAAATAAATAAAGAGTAAGAAGAAAGCAATTTATATCTTTATATTATATTTATTATATAATATATGCTGTTTTATATTTTTATTAAGATATTTTAGTATTTTTATACACACAATTATATAATTTAAATTAGAATAGTTTCCGTTTAATGAATAAAATTTCTGTACCATGACATAGAAAGTATCTCAATCATCCTTAGTTTAAAAAGTTTATTTTTTAATTTGGATTTAATATAAATTTGTTTTAGTAAAAGTACCAAAAATAAGTCATTTGTGTTTATTAATTTATGTAACTTTATTGTACATCTTTATGATCAATTCTTATATTTATATTTCTAATATTTATATTTATATTTATTCTAATATTTATTATTATTAATTAATAATAATGATTTCAAATAATACATAATATAATAATCATATGTTCCTTTTAATAATTAAGTTTAATTTTAAGTTTACTTTTATATAAAATCAAATTTTAAATCAGTTAAGAAAGAGAAATATGATTATTATTCGTGTAGTTCATCTTGAAAGGAATTTTCTTAATCATTTACAATTTGGACGTAATTATTGGCTATAATTGACTTTAATCTCTATTTCAATAATTTTTTTGAAGAAAAAAAATTAATTCCGAAATGTGTCAGATAATTTATTGTTAAAATTAGATTTATTAACTTCAATTCTTCATCTTTTTAAATTCAGTTCTTCCTGAATATACTTTTAAGTTGAAAATCTCCGAACGCAAAATGTTAGATTAATTAGTTAATAGAATGTACTCTTACCTACTACTCGAATTAACTATTTGCTGCATTGCCATATAAATGTGAGATGAACGTGATACCAAAGAAAAACCAAATTACGCGCCCAGATTATTGTAGGGTACATGACCCTGGTACGCCATGGAAGGCGGGGGCGCTGGCAAGACAAGAGGGTAGTGTTGCGTCAGCGTGGCGTCAGTCGGCATATATACACGAGGGAGAGCGCGCGCGGGAAGAAGCGACCACGTGTGTCGAGGTAGCGTGGCGTCGGTCCGGCCGCACAGTTTTAAGTGTACCTCTATCAAATAAATAATGTTCTCATTAAGTCGAAGTACATGATTATTGCCGCTCGACAAACCTTACAAAAATCAGAAGTGGGATTAGGACGCTAGCACACGTAAGGAAACTTAAGAAACTCGAAGAAGTTGCGTCAGCCATCTTCCGTTATTGGTTGAGTCGCCGCGTGAGAGACACGTGCTATCGTTACATACTCAGAAAATCCGGAAAAACGGTCAACGAACGGAACGAAATCACAATGGATCCGAAGAAGTTTTCGATAACTCAACTTAAGGCCGAATTACGAAGACGAGACTTGCCGGTGCACGGACGCAAGGTAGATCTCATCGCGCGTCTGGATAAAGACGACACGAGTGGCACGTGGATGAATTCCGTTGCTTGCGCCGAGTGCCCAACGACCGCCTCAGATAAGGATCTATCGGACGAGGAAGTAGCATTGACCGCGAACGAAGAAGATGACGGTAACGAAGAAAGAACAATAGAAGGCCCAAGAGAGAACAGAAATCGTGACCGCCGAAATAGCGATGAATTAGAGCGCCGTTATCGCGACATGCAACTCGAATTTGAGCGTCGTGAAAACGAACTCCTGAGAAGAGAGTTAGAGATCGCTAGACGGGAGAACGAACAACTACGAAGAGCCACACCACCTGTAGCCGAGGGGGCACGCAGAACAGAGAACATCACCGCCATGTTGGAACTAGTGGGATTCTTCGACGGAAGTGCAGGTACGTTTAGAAAATGGGAGCAACAAGTCCGTCAATTGTGTGCAACCTATCGTCTCGATGATGACCGTGCTAAACTGCTCGTTAGCAACAAAATAAAAGGAAAAGCGAAGAGCTGGTTTCAGGCAGAAAACACGATTGCCATGACTCTTGATGAAATAATGGACGGCTTCCGGAAAATGTATGATCATCGTCCGTTACGTGTAGCCATGAGGAAGAAATTCGAGGCAAGAGAGTGGAAACCATCCGAGAATTTTGCAGATTATTTCCACGATAAAATAATCTTGGCAAAAGACGTTCCTATCGACGAAGAGGAAATGGTCGATTATTTAATTGATGGCATTCCGAGTGACCATCTACAAGACTTAGCACGAATGAAGGAGTTCCAGAAGAAGGAAGATATGTTACGAACCTTCGAGAAAGTATCCTTGCGAACACCTGTGAAAAACAATACGAAACGAGATTCACGACCGACGGGAAAGCACGACGTAAAATCAGCTGATTCACAAAAGGATAATGAGAAAAAAGGAGAAAATCAAGCGAAAAACGACGAAGGAAAACTGAAAAATCCTCGTTGTTATAACTGTAACAAACTAGGGCACATCGCTTCTGACTGTCGTCAACCTAAGCGCGAGAAGGGCTCGTGTTTCAAGTGTGGTGAGATGGGCCACATATCCAAGGACTG